TTTATATAATGCCAGAGTGATTTTTATTTGCTTGTGCTATATTACGATCAATTACTAATAAATTAGGTGTTTTCGCTTTAATTTTAAGTATAGTAATATTATTTATTATTCCATTTTTACACACAAATAAATTTTTTCATTAACTTTTAGACCAATAGGAAAATTATTATATTGAGTATTTATAGCAAATTTTATTTTATTAACTTGATTAGGTACCTATAGAAAATTCTTACAGATTAATCAGTATAATTTCTAGTTTATTTTATTTTTTTCATTTTTTATTTATTATACCAATAATCGGAAAATTATTTATTTTTTCTAAAAATAAGTGTATAATTAAACCACACGTTGGATGTTTTCAACTAATCACAAAAATATATAGGAACTATATATTTAATTTTTGAAGCATTTTCAGGAATGATAGGAGCTGCTTTAAGTATGTTAACTAGAATAGAACTTTCACCACCAGAAAGAGTAATAGGAGATGATCATTTATAAAATGTCATAGTTACAGCTCATCTTTTTGTAATGATATTTTTTTTAGTTATGCCAGTTTTAATTGGAGGTTATGGAAATTGATTTGTATCTATATATATAGGAGCACCAGATATGGCTTTCCCAGATTAAATAATTTAAGCTTTTGATTACTTTCTCCTGCATTAATTTTACTTTTAACTTCATTTTTGGTAGAACAATGAGCAGCAACAGGTTGAACTGTCTATCCTCCTTTATCTAGACGTTTGACTTATTCTGGAGGATCTGTAGATTTAGCTATTTTTAGCCTCAATTGTGCTGGGTTTTCTTCAATTGCAGAAGCAATTAATTTTATTACAACTATTTTTAACAAGAGAACACCAGGTTTAACATTTGATAAACTCCCTTTATTACTATGTTAACTGATAGAAGTTTTAATACTACTTTTTTTGATCCAGCAAGAGGAGGAGATCCTGTTTTATATCAACATTTATTTTGATTTTTTGGTCATCCTGAAGTATATATTTTAATAATTCCAGGATTTGGGATTATCTCACAAATTATTTTTAGTTCAAAAAAATCAAATTTTGGGGTATTTAGGCATGATATATGTTCAATTAGCTATAGCCTTTTTAGGTTTTATTATTTATTATTTTACTGTAGAAATGTATGTTAATACTAGAGCTTATTTTCCACAGCTATTATGATTATTGCCGTTCCAACAGGAATTTAAACTTTTGGTTGATTAGCAACAATGTATAGGGGAAAAATTAATTTATCTACACCTAAGTTATGAGTTACTAGTTTTATATTTTTATTTACTTTATGTGGTTTAACTGGTGTAATTTTAGCTAATGGTTCATTAGATATTTTATTACATGATACATAATATGAAGTAGCTCATTTTTACTATGTTTTATCATTAGGTGCAGTATTTGCTATGTTTGGGGGATTTTATTTTTGATTTGGAAAAATTTCTAGATTTGCTATTAATGAAACTTTCGGTAAAATTCATTTCTAAATTACTTTTATAGAGGTAAATTTAACTTTTTTTCTACAACGTTTCTTAGGATTAGTAGGAATTTCTAGATGATATGTAGACTTTCCAGATAGCTTATTTACTTGAAATGCTATTAGCAGGTTCAATTATTTCTATAATTGGAGTAGTATGATTTATCTATGTAATTTTTGATGCTTTTTATTCAGAAGAAAGATTTGTTTCTTTAAATAATTTAAATGCCGAAAAAACAAATACTTTAGAATGATTATTAAATTATCGTTCTAAGCATCATACTTTTAATGAATTACCTTTAATAAGTCATTCAACTCATTAAAAACAATGGAATAAAAAAAACTCTTCGGTTTTCTTCTCCTCTAAAAGAGGATCACCAACCCATCTCAGTCCAGGTGCAGCACTGACGCACCCCCTTGCTGTGGCTATTGCAAGGGGTCCCGCGCCGCACCAACCTTCCACTAGCGTGAAAAAATTAGCCTGTATGTTTCGATATCATTGAACCGTCATTCTTTTATATTTTTGACCTTTTTTACCAGGTGTTGTCTTAAAACCAGGTGTTGTGCCAAAAGAAATTAAAGTTGCCATAATCACTCCAAATTTTAAAACTGGTGACGTAACAAATGTTTCGAATTACAGACCCAACTCCGTCTTACCTTGCTTATCAAAATTACTGAAACGTATTACTTACAACAGACTTTCTAATTATTTAATGTTAAACAATCTACAAACAAACAATATGCTGCACAATAAACATTTTTTAAGAAAAATAATTCCATTAATCATGTTGTAGTTGAACTGATTAATCATGTACCAGATGTATTCAATAATGAATATTTTATTTTATTTATAAAAAATTGAAAAAGAAATACACATTACATGTGGTGTGCCCCAAGGTTCAATTTTAGGTCCATTATTTTTATTATATATAAATGATTTATAACGACTCCATTCTTTTTTATTCCAACAAAGACATAAAAGCTCTCTTTAATATATTTAATAAAGAACTACTCAAAATAAACAAGAAGTTTACAAGGCTTTCATTGAATGTAGAAAAAACTAAGATTTTTTTATTCTACAAACCTCGTAGGTGATTCACCAAGCAGTGGAGGTGACAATGTTCCTCTAAAATTACCTCATCTCCTAATCAATAAAACATTTATTAAAAGGGAACCGATCGTTAATTTTCTAAAAGTAATACTAGATGAAAAATTGTCTCGGAAATCATATATGAAATATATTGAAAATAAAATCTCAAGAAATACTTACATATTGTATAAAATTAAATTAATTTTCAACACTGCATACTTGAAAAAAATATACTTTTTATTTATTCATAGTTCTATCTCCTACTGCAATACTGTAGTAGGAATTATGGTTAATTAAAAAAGCTTTATAGTAAACAAAAACACGCATGCTTGAATGTATTTGGTACACACAGAACTTTTCATTGCAAACCTCTTTTAAGGAAACTTTGTGCCTTTATAAACTTTGTTTATAAACTTCATATACACTAAGTTCTACAATTCATATTTAAAAAAAAACATGGATTTTCTCCTATTGTATTTAAGTCGTACTTTAGTGAAATTTCGCACAAATATCCTACTCAATTTTCAATTTAAATTTTGTTGTTCCAAGAACCACTTTAAAACTAAGCTCTTACCAAATCCAGTACCGTGGACCGTTTATATGGAAACATTTTTCAAAATTTATTACAAAAAATAATAATGTTCAAAACATTTCTTGGAACAGTTCAGAAAAGAATCTAAGAGTCTCTTATTACAAAAAAACTTTAATTTAAAATACCTAACTTAAAATTATTACATAAATAGTATAAGTTATCTAAAAAATTGCTATTGACACTGCTTCTCTTTAGTTGCAATTTTAATTAAATTAAATTTATTTTTTTTGTTTAAAAACTATAACTTTAAGTTTTAGTTAATCCTAAGTATATTGCGTAATGTTTCAACACGTGTAAATAAACGTGTTTAAAATTCTTATTAAGCACTTAATTACTTTTTATTCCTGTATATAAACTGACAATATTTCAATGTAAATGGAGTTCGCTGATAAATAGCTTATGTCTTCTGCTTTCTCCAGCTTTTTATTTATTAACAAGATTTATTTTATTGCAAATATTAATATCCAGGGTTTATATGTATATATATATATATATATATATATATATATATATATATATATATATATATATATATATATATATATATATATATATATCATATATATATATATATATATATATATATATATATATATATATATATATATATATATATATATGTATATATATATATATATATATCTATATATATATACATATATATATATATATATATATATATATATATATATATATATATATATATATATATATATATATATATATATATATATATATATATATATATATATATATATATATTTTTGTGCTTTGTTAAAATAATATCTCCACGCATTAATAAATCTGTGGCACGAAATTTTGGTACTAAAATAAAGAAATTTATTTTTCATAAAGAAAAATTAACTAGAAATCCGCTCCATTTTTGTTTGAAGAACAATGCATGGAATCATTAAGTTTTGACTTTATTTAAAGATACTATTTTTATGTAATATGAGTATGCTCAAATTACCCAGTGTTTTTCATCGAAATTCCCTAGTTTAAAGTCCTAAAATCGCAGTGGTTTTAACTGATTTTTGAATAAAAACAAAACATAGTAAAAAGTTTTAATATTTTAACATTACTAAATATTTTTCTGTGATTTAAATTCAAAAAAATTGAATTTTTATTGTTTAAAGGTTTGAGTTAATAAAATTGACAAAAATAACGAACTAATTTCTTTTTTTTTGCGGAAAACAAAGTAGTATTGTTTCTATAAAAAAAGACTAAAAATTTGTATAAAATTAGTATTTTGTATTAATTAAATGTTACTTTATTGATCTAATTTAAAGTGCTCATATTACCAAGTGGTCTAGGTAATATGAGCACTTTTGCTGCTTTTTTAAAAACTCTGTGTTTTTAAGAAAAATTTTCGGTTGACTAAATATCTAAGAGGATCATGAGTTGTGATCCCTAAATATTGTTTATTGGCAAAAATTTTGGTTCCCGCATAACTATTTTGAAAATATTCCAATTTTTGCTTATGGTGCTCATAATAACCTAATCTACCCTATATAAATAGAGTTAAGCACTGCAAAAATACCTAAGAAGTTAGAATAGATAAGGTAAGCCAAAATGCTCAAAAGGTTGGGATAGTTTGAAGTCAACATTTTAAAATCTGCCTTAAAAAATCTTTGTTTTGTGCAAAATATCACAATTCACTTTTTACAGAGTTTACAGATTCTTAGTGAGACCCTAAGTTTACTGATTCTTAGTGACCCTAAGTTAGAGTTGCTGCAAACTGTAACTATTACTAGACAAAAACAATAAATAAAAACAATAAATACTTCTACATTTACTATTTTACAAATAAACAAATAAAGCAAAAAAAAAAAATTCAAGCTTTTATAGATGTTTAATATTTAGTAAATTTTTAATGTTTTTAAAATAAATATCGTTTAAACAAACGGTGAATTTATGTCGTCGTCATAACTTGTTATAATAATGATTGGCGCGCAAATTGGAATTCCATCAATTTCAACCTGCCTGCAGCTAATTTTCTTATTAGAAATTTTTCTGTTTTTATCTGAAGTAGTTGAATGCCGTGGAAGAATGGGGGAACATTTAGAAAAACCGTTAATTGCACGTTCATCGGGAATCCATTTTGAAAAAAAAAGGTTTAATAGTCGTTGAAAAATACTCGCTTCATTTTTATTGCCCATCGATAAACGTGAACAACTGACTATACTTTTTTTTTTATTTGCTTTCTTTCTTTTTTTTGATTTTATTAATAAACTTTTAAATGCATTTTGAAAATACTCGTTAAAACCTCCATACAACCACGGGTTTAAAGAAGCATTACAGTAAACAAGACCTTTGCAAAAATAATGTATTTTTGGGGTAATCTTAACATGAAAAGCAATTAAAATCTCACTGACGTGATGCGGAAGCATACAAACAAAAAAGACAGTTAGAAGTATGCCAAAAACTTTCAAAGTTTTTAAAGTTTGTTTAAACCTGTAAAATGCAAATTCTTCAGATATTTCATTTAAGTCAGCTCCAGCAATAAGAGAGGTTACGCTTTCTTTCATTTTTGACATAGGCATACGAAAGCTGCTGTTGTACCAGGAGCTAATTTTTCTTCTGCTGGTTTTTGTTTTAAGCTCTGAATCACTATGAGATAACATTCTGGCGCTTGCGCACCGAGTAATGCTTTTTGTTTCAAACCACTTATCATCCCCGCGTTTTGTCTCTTGCACCATACTTGATGTTCGACACAGCACTGAGCCACTTTTTCTTCTGTTTATGCTTGAATTTCTTTTTAAAGTTTTCATGGTTCTATTTTCACGGCAATCTTCTAAATTATTTGATAAAGATCGAGCATTGCTCAAGGAAAAATGTTCGGCTTTTCGAATAGTATGTCTGTCATTAAAATCAGTCAGTGAAATGCTTCTTCTTTTTGCCATTCGCTTTGGTACATAATTAAAATTAGTCGAATCCTGATATTCGGATCTATTATCAATTTTTTCGGCTTCAAATGGATCGTTGTTATTATTTAAAAAAGACTTGGTTCGATTACGATTAAAGACTTTTATTGATTTTCGATTTTTTGACCTGACGGTGTACCATATTTTTATATACAAAAAAGACATAATCACTAACGGTGCAATATATTGAAGAAGAAATACTAATAAAACATAAATCAAAGTTGATGTTCCTGTAAAATCATCAAGATGGCAAGAATTAAACTCCTTTTTTTGTTTTAATAATATATTAGGAAGCCCTAACAAAATAGCAAGTATATTTACAATCAGACAAATCAAAATAGAAGTTTTGTTATTTATTTTGAATGGCATTTTTATGCGCAATATCACTAAATATCTTTCAAATGCAATTATTACCAAAATTAGAACATTTGCCATCATTAAAATTCTTAAGATCGGCTTCAAAAACACGCACTTAATACCTTCCATAAAACCAGTTCCTTCATAATTTAAAAATACAGGAACCCCTGCTAATAAAATCAGAATATCATTAAAACATAAGTTGCAAACAAACAAGTTTGTTGGAATTTGAAGCTTTCTATATCGTAGTGTAGCAAGTAACACTAGCGTATTACCAAACACGCCTATAACAAAAGCAAAACTGTATATCCCAGATAATAAACTTTCAGTTAATAAATCCATTTCCTGCGGCCGGGTGTTGTTAAAAAACATCTCATTCGTCTATATTATACTATATCTTGATTGCTATATAAAGTTTAGAGCATATAAAGCATTAGCGTGTTTGACACTTTCTTTTTCTTTCTTTATTTTATTGAGTTTGCCAAACAAATGTTTATTTTCACCGTTGACGCATGCGCACTATGATAAATGTAAAGTAATTAGCCAATTATCGCTGACAAATAAAAGTGTTTTCAAAGAACATGTTTGAAAAGGCATCAAGGTTTCAGACAATGCGCGGTGCCATTTTGACACATCAAACGCGGTATTTTAGTTTTTATTACCAGGATGATAATGATTAAAATAAATATTTTACTTAAATTAGCTTCAAAATTTCTTATTTTTATTATTATTTTTGAGATTTTTTTTAAATCAGAGAGAAAAAATATGGAGATAAATTGATCGCCAAAGACTTTAGTTAAAGAATATAAAGGTAAACATCTAACTGCAAAGCTTGAAAATTTAACAACTCATTTGTTTTGTATCTCAAGTCTTGAACAATATAATTTATCTCTTAAACAATATATTTTATCCTAGAAAAATCATTGTTATGTTCTTACACCTTCAACAATGCCACGTATTTAAGAACTTAGGGAAGTAGCGTCGTATAATAGTCGTCGCGTAATTAAAATATTACTAAAAATAATAATTTGTCAGAATTTCTTAGATTGGTTAGAAAATGCATTTGTTTGCAATTCACCATTAAAAAAAAAAGAAAGAAACGTAAAGCGTTTTTAGGTAAAATTAATCGTTTGGTCATGGGTTTAAATTACAATTAAATCAATATCACGAAAAAAATTTTTGTGAAGAAGTTGAAAAAAACTTTTTATTAACAATACGAAGACGTTTTAATGATATATATTTGTAAATTCTTTTTAGATGATCGAGAATCGAGGCAAACGAGATGATCGAGAAATTTTGAATTTGATAAAAAAAAAAACTCGGTTTAAACATTTGTCACATTTTGTCACAATTTGTTTGTCACATTTGTTACAACTGTGCCACTTGCTGCTAGGATTTTAAATTTAAATTTACACTTTTTTTAAAAAAGGAATTTATTTTAAAAAATTTCTCAATTAAAATACCTTGTCAATTAAAATACCTTGTCAATTGAAACTGACATGTGAAGAGAATGTATTTTTTTTTGATTTAATCTTTTAAATATTTTTGATTGCGCAGTCGAACTTATTTACCTAATACTCTATGGGACATTTGTTTTTGTAATGATTTTAGTGTATGTAGATAAAGCTGCGTTAAAAAGTCGTCAATGCTTAAGAGATATATCGAAAATCTCTTCAAAATAAGCATAGAAGGCAATCACAAGAATGAATGACAATCGCACAAGATAATTATAAGAAACGTCTATTACAAATAAAGTTAAACAACATTTTGTCATGAAAACAACAGTTTTATTTTTATGAGCTCACTTGACTAAGTAATAAAAGTATGAGATTATTGCGATTTTAACCTTAAGCAAACAAAAAAGAAAACATTTGTTGTAGACTTTAAAACACAAAAAACAAAAATGTTGTTTAAGGTAACCAATGTTAATCAGATTAGTTTACATTATTAATACAGTTAAAAACACTGTAAATTTACTCAACATTTAAGTTTACCCTATAACGTATTCACGGATAAAAGCTGATATTAACATTAATATAAATTCATTATATATATATATATATATATATATATATATATATATATATATATATATATATATATATATATATATATATATATATATATATATATATATATATATATATATATATATATATATATATATACTGTGTATTATTATTTATAGTCCATACAACATCAGGGGCGGGCACAAGATTTTTTTTATGTCTTAGATTTGATATAAGCATGAAAATGAAAATATAAAAATAGTTTTTAAAATATAAACATACTCGTATTTTGAGTTTTCACAATACATGAAAATGTCATCTGAATTATAAGAAAATCCTGTGTTCGCCTTTGAATATATACAAATATATATCATACGTATGATTTACACAAGGATAAATAATACGTATTTTATCATCATTATTAATTTGGTGAACATGCACGAATTTTTATCATGTAATTGTTGAAATTGTAACTTATATTTTCTTTACAATCTGAGAGGATCAAGCAGAAAAAAAATTTTTTTTATCATAAAGCTCTTTTATGTAACATAAAAAAGATTAAATAACAGTTGACATGCAAAGCAATTTTATGCAAAGTTGTTAAATTAAAAATTAAAAAAAAAAAATTATAAGAAATTCATAAAACAATTACAACGCGATCACGTAATAAAATAACTTATTAATATTTTAAGAAGATTGAAAAGTTAAGAATTTTATATCTACATTTTTTATTTATAAATATTTAAAAAGATTTATTTGAAACAAGTAAAAATTACAATAAAACAAACTACAAAAAGATCATTAATTATATTAATTATATCATTAAATATATCTAAGAAAAATGGTAAATAAACATTTCCTCTTAAAAAATGAAAGGGTGTGTATTGTTTAAATCTAGAAAAGCTTTTTACAGTCCTTTTAAATGTAATTAATAAATGTTTTGTTTTTCATATTTTTTCAAGAATGGAGTTCCACAAACGTGGTCGAGACATGTAGTCGAGATGTAGTCGAGAGTTCTTAATTCATTTATATATGACGTTAGTGGAATTGTTATATAGAATTCATATATATAAAACAATTCCAAAAAATATTTTGGAATTGTTTTATATATATGAAATTATACACATATACGTGAATTTAAACAAAAAAATAGAGTAGAAAAACAAAGTAGAAACACGCACACCAATAAAAAAATAAGAAGTGAACGTAATATGTTCGATGATGCATATCTAAATCTTAAATGCATACCTATCTTAAATGCACAGTGTTGCATTTCTGCAACACTGTACATTAAAGGGGGTCAAAATCTTTTATCTCTCAATAAAATTTTACTGCATGATGTTGCATATATGCAACATGCTATTTTTGTATAAATTACATATTTTAGTTTTTGAAAATAATCATAAGATGTAGCATACTTTTTAAATTTTTTCTATGTTTTTAAAAATATCATGCACTCAAAGGTTAACTTGCGCAACTTTTCCATAAAACATTCAAAAATTCAAAGGTTTGAATGGATTTAATGGATGTGAACAAACATTAAATTTAAATCAAATATGTACATTGTCGCTGCATTTATAGTAACATCTAAGTAATAATAGCTAAGAAGTCAAAAAATATTTGAGCAACACGAATGTTCCCAATATATTCGTATAAAGTTTTTATTACCGGCAATTAATATTTTTAACATTTCAGTTTTTTAACATTTAATATTTGTTTTAAAAGATTAAATTACATAAGCTCAAGAAAAAAAAAATGTAACGGTTCTTGTTATTGTTTTTTGTTTTTATGTTTTGTTTTGTTCTTTTATTAAACATTTATAATCCTATTACAATACATTATTTTTTTATAAGAATTTTATATATATTTTTGTTTATATAGTTTATATAACTAGTACATAATAATATCTTAAGACGTTTTAAGTATTAAGTTACTTTTGAATAAGAGATTTTATTAAAAGCTCGAGGAATATTTCCTATTTTTTCACTTACATATCCATCAACATAACACAAAGTTAAAAAGCATTATCTGCAACGGAGAACAAGCGTAAAAAAAGTATTTAGTTTGCTCGCGCAATTAATTTGAATCTCATTCGATTACGCGTGGATGTGATGGAATTCTATTTGATTGCGAATAAAATATATAAATCACAAACATAGAAAACTCTTAAGAAACTTTTAGATTGAGAAAATAAAACTCTGAAAATTAGAAACTTTCTAGTACGAGCCCGTTTGCTTGGTTTCTTATAATAACAAAACAATATGTGAAACCATTTAGATATTTATATTAGATATTTAGATTTTTTCACTTATGCCAGTTCGCATTTAGTCCAGTTTTTACAACTGCTTTTCACTTATGCCAGTTCGCACTTAAGAAATTTGCACTTATTCAGCCTTCCGTAAAAACATCTCACAATTAAAAATACAAGAAAATAATAAAATCTTTTTTCAAAAACATATTAATAATTTGAAAACAAGTTTGACTGGTTGTAGGTGTATATTTACAAAACACAGTTATGACCTGTAAAGCGTTTTACCAATTTGCTTTTTAAACCTATAGCACTTTTTTCGCAAGTTTTCAATAAATTTTTGAACTAGTGAATGGTTATTGAGTGAGAAATAAACATTTTGCTACATATTTTGCATTCCACAAGCTTTACTATAAATATCTTCTATCAAATATTTATTTTGAGCACAGTCTAAAATTGCAACAAAATCAATGTCAATTAATGATTATTGACATAATAGCTCTGATTGTAATTAACATAAACAGTGAACACCATTCTTCTTCCATGACAAATTTACTAGATTGATAATGAGAATGATATATTAACTGTATATGAAAATGATAAGGCAAGTACAAATTTTGAACATAGACGGAACGCTTTCATCTTATTTTGTAGTTCTCTTCCTGCAAGACAGTTATTTACCTTGCATCCCATATAATATATATATATATATATATATATATATATATATATATATATATATATATATATATATATATATATATATATATATATATATATATATATATATATATATATACATATATATATATATATATACATATATATATATATATATATATATATATATATATATATATATATATATATATATATATATATATATATATATATATATATATATATATATATTATAAAGAGCAAAAGTAAAACAAAATCAAATCCAATAAATGCAAAGATGAGGCAGTTTACAATACAACGTTACATTAACATATACAAACATATTTTTGGTTGAGATTTGCATCTATTTCAATTAATTCTCTTATTTCCTTAGTTTAATCTAATTTTAAGTATAACTCATTTAAAAAATAATTTAAAAAAGGAAACATGGATAAAGTTTGAGAGGCAGCAAAAATCTAATCGGATAATATATATATATATATATATATATATATATATATATATATATATATATATATATATATATATATATATATAT